CTGATAATCTGAAAGAGTGCAGCCCACCCACCGTTTCCGTCATTCATTCATGTCATTCTACCCATCTTGAGGTTATCTTGAGATGATTTCGGGGCTTTTTTAGCGTCCCCGCGGCCTGGTCCTCGACCAGGCCTCCACCCCCAGGAAGCAGCCCGTGACAGCTGACTAACACCCAGGTACCTATTTTACTGCTAAGTAACAGGGGCGAAAGAAACTCTGTCTATTGTTTCTCGCCGGTTCCTGGGATCGAACCCAGGACCACAGGATCACAAATCCCGCGTGCTGTCCGCTCGACCGACCGTCCTCCCCACCCTTGACCTCTCATAGGTTTGTCAAGCATGACTTTTCTGCACTGGACCCGCGCTGGTGCTTTGAGGTTCAGTTTAGTGTGCGTAGGTGCGATATTATCTCGTTAGTCTCTTCTGCACCTGATAATGTGTGTTGTTGGTGTTGTGGGTTTGTGGTTTTGTGTGTTGGAGTGTCTCCTTACTGTGCTGTTTCTGCTTGCAGTAATACACGCTCTCTGCTTCCAGTCATACACGCTCTCTGCTTCCAGTCATACACGCTCTCTGCTTCCAGTCATACACGCTCTCTGCTTCCAGTCATACACGCTCTCTGCTTCCAGTCATACACGCTCTCTGCTTCCAGTCATACACGCTCTCTGCTTCCAGTCATACACGCTCTCTGCTTCCAGTCATACACGCTCTCTGCTTCCAGTCATACACGCTCTCTGCTTCCAGTCATACACGCTCTCTGCTTCCAGTCATACACGCTCTCTGCTTCCAGTCATACACGCTCTCTGCTTCCAGTCATACACGCTCTCTGCTTCCAGTCATACACGCTCTCTGCTTCCAGTCATACACGCTCTCTGCTTCCAGTCATACACGCTCTCTGCTTCCAGTCATACACGCTCTCTGCTTCCAGTCATACACGCTCTCTGCTTCCAGTCATACACGCTCTCTGCTTCCAGTCATACACACTCTCTGCTTCCAGTCATACACGCTCTCTGCTTCCAGTCATACACGCTCTCTGCTTCCAGTCATACACGCTCTCTGCTTCCAGTCATATACGCTCTCTGCTTCCAGTCATACATGCTCTCTGCTTCCAGTCATACAGGCTCTCTGCTTCCAGTCATACATGCTCTCTGCTTCCAGTCATACACACTCTCTGCTTCCAGTCATACACGCTCTCTGCTTCCAGTCATACACGCTCTCTGCTTCCAGTCATATACGCTCTCTGCTTCCAGTCATACATGCTCTCTGCTTCCAGTCATACATGCTCTCTGCTTCCAGTCATACACGCTCTCTGCTTCCAGTCATACACGCTCTCTGCTTCCAGTCATACACGCTCTCTGCTTCCAGTCATACACGCTCTCTGCTTCCAGTCATACACGCTCTCTGCTTCCAGTCATACACGCTCTCTGCTTCCAGTCATACACACTCTCTGCTTCCAGTCATACACGCTCTCTGCTTCCAGTCATACACGCTCTCTGCTTCCAGTCATACACGCTCTCTGCTTCCAGTCATACACGCTCTCTGCTTCCAGTCATACACACTCTCTGCTTCCAGTCATACACGCTCTCTGCTTCCAGTCATACACGCTCTCTGCTTCCAGTCATACACGCTCTCTGCTTCCAGTCATATACGCTCTCTGCTTCCAGTCATACATGCTCTCTGCTTCCAGTCATACATGCTCTCTGCTTCCAGTCATACATGCTCTCTGCTTCCAGTCATACACGCTCTCTGCTTCCAGTCATACACGCTCTCTGCTTCCAGTCATACACGCTCTCTGCTTCCAGTCATACACACTCTCTGCTTCCAGTCATACACGCTCTCTGCTTCCAGTCATACACGCTCTCTGCTTCCAGTCATACACGCTCTCTGCTTCCAGTCATATACGCTCTCTGCTTCCAGTCATACATGCTCTCTGCTTCCAGTCATACATGCTCTCTGCTTCCAGTCATACATGCTCTCTGCTTCCAGTCATACACACTCTCTGCTTCCAGTCATACACGCTCTCTGCTTCCAGTCATACACGCTCTCTGCTTCCAGTCATACACTGGATGCCATTTTGAGTATGGTACCCAGGTGGGCGTCGTGTCGTACCCCAGGTGGGCGTCGTATCGTACCCAGGTGGGCGTCGTATCGTACCCAGGTGGGCGTCGTATCGTACCCAGGTGGGCGTCGTATCGTACCCAGGTGGGCGTCGTATCGTACCCAGGTGGTCGTCGTATCGTACCCAGGTGGGCGTCGTGTCGTACCCAGGTGGGGCGTCGTGGTCTTGAATACTAATGTTTACAATCCAGAGAGTGGGAAGAGAAAAAAGTAGTTTCAGGACCAGACTTGGACGGTTCAGGGTGGTGGTGGTGGTGGTGGGGGGGAGTGTTGATTATGGGAGTGGGGGTGGGGGGGAGAGAGGATAGTGGTAGCGGTTGGTGTGGTATTGGGTGGGGGTATGTGCAGTTGTGGTTGGAGAGGTGGGGGTGAGGATACGTTAATGACCAGATGATCGTTCTAGTGTGACTGCCAGTGATGCCAATACCTTCAGTCCAGAGTGATTGTTATGTTTAGTATGTGAGAGAGTGGGAGGTACAGTTTTTTATAGTCTGACCTGACCTGACCTGACCTGACCTGGCCTGGCCTGACCTGACCTGGCCTGACCTGGCCTGGCCTGACCTGACCTGACCTGGCCTGGCCTGACCTGACCTGACCTGACCTGGCCTGGCCTGACCTGACCTGACCTGACCTGACCTGACCTGACCTGACCTGACCTGACCTAAATAATATCCATTCCCCATCTTGGAGGAAGTCTTTGCACACAGGATATTTGTCCTTCCTTCTCTCCCATCATCCTTATGAGACTATTTAAATTACAGGGCACTTGCTTTCCAAGACGGTATATATATATATATATATATATATATATATATATATATATATATATATATATATATATATATATATATATATATATATATATATATGTGTGTGTGTGTGTGTGTGTAATTACCTAAGTGTAGTTACAGGATGAGAGCTACGCTCGTGGTGTCCCGTCTTCCCAGCACTCTGTCATATAACGCTTTGAAACTACTGGAAGTTAAGGATTGGCGCCCAGTAAATCCTTTCCGGCCAGGATACGAACCCATGCCAAAGGTCGATTGACAGGAGTGTCTTACCATGACGCCACGGCGACTGTGTATGTGTGTGTGTGTGTGTGTGTCATTTAGGAATAGTGAAGGGAAGGGAACTCTGAAGAAGCAGTGCCCAACCATTACGACTGACTATACAGCATTTGGAAGGGGTCAGGATTAGGATTTGGTACGGAACGGGGGGAAAGGAATAGGGCTCAACCACTTGGGCCCAACTCTCCAACAGTTATTCAAACTACGTCCAGAATTTTAAGCCTTTAGGAAATTATATTGTCCAGGTATAATGACAATATATTCATTGTACATTTCTGCAGTTTAATTATATTTGTTTATCAACAAGGAGTGGCTGATCAGGTGGCCTTGTATATTATGTCAGTGACTAATTTATTATCTTGATTATCTTTGGATTTCCAAGAATATTAAATAGATAGCTTAAATATTAGGTATATCTTTCATTAAAGATATCTTGAAGATATCCTCATATTACACCCAAAATTTGCCAGTGCAGGCTACTAAACATATGGCCCTGTATGACTAACCATCCTGCGAGATGGGGACTTTTAGTATCAGTGCTGCCTTATTCACTCTTGTGTTGATGATATCCTCGTAATGCATCCGGAGTCTGCCAGTGCAGACCGCTTATCACATGCCTCTGTATGACTAACCATCCTGTGTGATGGGGATTTTTTAACACCACGTAGCTAGCTTTTTGACTGTAATTTCCCTTCATATAGTCTAGGATAGCTGCACAAATGCAGATGTACCTAATTGTATTAATAAAAAAAAACATATTGTCTGTATCTAGCCAAGCTTCAGTTTGGCTATATACACCTGTCATGTCCATTCGAGCACCTGTCATGTCGTCCATTCGAGCACCTGTCATGTCGTCCACTCGAGCACCTGTCATGTCGTCCACTCGAGCACCTGTCATGTCCTCCACTCGAGCACCTGTCATGTCCTCCACTCGAGCACCTGTCATGTCCTCCACTCGAGCACCTGTCATGTCCTCCACTCGAGCACCTGTCATGTCCTCCACTCGAGCACCTGTCATGTCGTCCACTCGAGCACCTGTCATGTCCTCCACTCGAACACCTACGAAACGCAGATGTTCTACACCTGTCATATCTGTCTCAGCCATCTACCGTTGAGTAGGAATATTGGTGTTAATAAAGGTAGACTTTACAAGGGATGGTCATATACTCTCAGAAGTATACCCAATTGTATCTATATTGTACACTTGAGACTATACTTTAGTGCTGGACTAAGGTATACTTGCTGGATGATTGATTAGTAAACTATTGTGGTGGGCCTTAACAACCTTTCAGACGCTAATAGGCTCGTACACAGGAGCCTCCAGAGGTTGAAAGGCCTCAAGCCAATTATCAAACCAAAGGAAGGGTCTTATAAGCACCTACTCGTTCAAGCTTATTATTTTTCAGCCATTCTTACACTCTTTTTCTCCTTTATTTTCCACTTTCTTCTGTTCACCGTCCAGGAATTTGTTCATCGTGAGATTGGCATTTTCTTAATGCCAATTTCCCGTTCTTCTTTTTGTTCATTTTGCATTCATTTCTGGTCTGTTAGTCACAGGCTATTTACTCAGTGGTCACTGTTGGCATTTTGTTGTTATTCTGTTTATTTCGGACAATTCTTGGAGGTCTGTGATATTTTCTGCAACGTGAAGTTCCATTTGGTTGCCCTCAACTAGTTTTGTTCGTCATGTCCCAGCTCGTGTGTGGTTATCTCTCTCTACTCCCAGACTATCTCATCATGGCTCACATCTATAATTATGAACACTAACCTCATAGTTGCATTGCACTCCAATTTAAGTCTATGGTTGTTCTTTGGTGAGATGCAGATGTTGGCAACTTTTATCTTTGTTCATGTGCTGTTAATGGCTCCTGAGATGTTGTTCAGAAAGTTGCTCATCTTTCCCACTGATATTTCTTCAAGCAAGGCAAATCCTCTCCATTAGGAGTTTCTCTTCCTCTATTTCTCTGTTTTTCCTTCTTTCTTTTTTTTTTATTTTTATTATTTTCTACCACAGACGTGGCCACACATTTACAATGCTAACCAGCATATATACATTTTCTTCTATCCTCCATGGACAGGGTTAGAGATGTGTTAAACATATTGTTCAAGGGTTTATTGAACACTCAACCACACTAGGTGATTCGGTGCTTTTAAAATGCTAAGCTAACCTACATACGTAAATACATAGATACACAGATTTACGTATGCCCTACATAAAGTGTTTGATGTGTCTTTTACATAGTGTCATTAATGTACATTCACAAAGGTGAAATGTAATTCTGATCAGCTTCCATATATACTTTATACCCATACATATACATACACACACACACATACATATATACACACACATGCATTCACATACATTTGTCTCATTTACTCTGACAGGGTGAGATAGCTGATAAAGAAACTAGTGTGCACTTAATCACTGAAGGTAATGAAGGTGCTTTTACAAGCTCAGGTTATATAGTTACATCATATATAGATACATTGTATAATTGATATATTACATGGTCAATCTTGGATAAAAGTCCAATATATCAAGTGTTCCAGTAATCATATAGTAATTACAGAGTTCAGCATACCTTAGCCCAGGAGGGCGAAAGTCAGTCAGTATGGGACATTCTACAATAACCACCCGTCCCAACCCAACCTTAACCACCCGTCCCAACCCAACCTTAACCACCCGTCCCAACCCAACCTTAACCACCCGTCCCAACCCAACCTTAACAACCCGTCCCAACCCAACCTTAACCACCCGTCCCAACCCAACCTTAACCACCCGTCCCAACCCAACCTTAACCACCCGTCCCAACCCAACCTTAACCACCCGTCCCAACCCAACCTTAACCACCCGTCCCAACCCAACCTTAACCACCCGTCCCAACCCAACCTTAACAACCCGTCCCAACCCAACCTTAACAACCCGTCCCAACCCAACCTTAACCACCCGCCCCAACCCAACCTTAACCACCCGTCCCAACCCAACCTTAACCACCCGTCCCAACCCAACCTTAACCACCCGTCCCAACCCAACCTTAACCACCCGTCCCAACCCAACCTTAACAACCCGTCCCAACCCAACCTTAACCACCCGTCCCAACCCAACCTTAACCACCCGTCCCAACCCAACCTTAACCACCCGTCCCAACCCAACCTTAACCACCCGTCCCAACCCAACCTTAACCACCCGTCCCAACCCAACCTTAACAACCCGTCCCAACCCAACCTTAACCACCCGTCCCAACCCAACCTTAACCACCCGTCCCAACCCAACCTTAACCACCCGTCCCAACCCAACCTTAACCACCCGTCCCAACCCAACCTTAACAACCCGTCCCAACCCAACCTTAACCACCCGTCCCAACCCAACCTTAACCACCCGTCCCAACCCAACCTTAACCACCCGTCCCAACCCAACCTTAACCACCCGTCCCAACCCAACCTTAACCACCCGTCCCAACCCAACCTTAACAACCCGTCCCAACCCAACCTTAACCACCCGTCCCAACCCAACCTTAACCACCCGTCCCAACCCAACCTTAACCACCCGTCCCAACCCAACCTTAACCACCCGTCCCAACCCAACCTTAACCAGCCATCCATATCACCCGGCCGTCCAGACATTCTCCACCTCTTCATATTTCGGCGCCAAGACCAATTTAGAAGAGCGAGATAATGAAGGGGGGGTAAATGAGACGGTGGCCGGGCTGGGCTTGTGATTGGTATATTGTACCGCTTAACAAGTTGGGCTTAATATATTATTTTAAGTAAAGCGTCTGCAGGTTTCCCTGGTAAATGTGTAGCTGAGGATAATTACATTTTTGGCCGTCGCCAATTTTTCCAATTAAGTGAAACGTAAATATAATAATATTATTAATAATAAATTTGTATTATTATTGTTGTTATTAAAAATATTTTGATGTGTGTTGTGGAAGACAGCAAGGACATGAACGTCACAATGGGCCAGACTCTTCAGGTCAACTTTGCAAGGTGACTGGTGGTTGTTGAAGGGGGAGGGGATGGTCATAGTAAGGGGGCGGGGTCGTGGTTGACCCCCCAACTCTCCCCCTTCCTCTTTGGCCTAAATTGGCAAAGTATATCATATTTATACTGTGTTTTATACCATATTTAAATTATACTCTGTGTACTTCAAGTTCAAGTTCAAGTATGTTTATTGAGATAAGCAATAAATACATCTCAAAGGGATAGAGTAGCTTAGGCTATTTCTACCCCCCTCTACTTCAAGTCCCTCAAGGGGCGCACAAATTCAGTGAGTACAGAAACTCTGTGTACTCCCAAGCACACGCCTTAAACAACTAAACCACGACATGGCCAAAAGAATTGTAACCTGGGATGAATATTAGGAATGGTGTGTACAATTAATATGACTCCATTTTCCATTAATCGATTGATTGATTGATACCTGGTTGATACCTGGTTGATGAGGTTCTGGGAGTTCTTCTACTCCCCAAGCCCGGCCCGAGGCCAGGCTTGACTTGTGAGAGTTTGGTCCACCAAGCTGTTGCTTGGAGCGGCCCGCAGGCCCACATACCCACCACAGCCCGGTTGGTCCAGCACTCCTTGGAGGAAACTATCCAATTTCCTCTTGAAGATGTCCACGGTTGTTCCGGCAATATTTCTTATGCTTGCTGGGAGGATGTTGAACAATCGCGGACCTCTGATGTTCATACAGTGTTCTCTGATTGTGCCTATGGCACCTCTGCTCTTTATTGGTTCTATTCTGCATTTTCTTCCATATCGTTCACTCCAGTACGTTGTTATTTTACTGTGTAGATTTGGGACCTGGCCCTCCAGTATCTTCCAGGTGTATATTATTTGGTATCTCTCTCGTCTCCTTTCCAGTGGGTACATTTGGAGAGCTTTGAGACGATCCCAATTATTTAGGTGTTTTATCTCGTCTATGCGTGCCGTATATGTTCTCTGTATTCCCTCTATTTCAGCAATCTCTCCTGCTCTGAAGGGGGAAGTGAGTACCGAGCAGTACTCAAGACGGGACAACACAAGTGACTTGAAGAGTACAACCATTGTGATGGGATCCCTGGATTTGAAAGTTCTCGTAATCCATCCTATCATTTTTCTGGCTGACGCAATATTTGCTTGGTTATGCTCCCTAAACGTTAAGTCGTCAGACATCATTATTGACAAATCCTTTACATGCTGCTTTCCTACTATGGGCACATTTGATTGTGTTTTGTACCCTGTATTATGTTTAAGGTCCTCATCTTTACCGTACCTGAGTACCTGGAATTTATCACTGTTAAACATCGTATTTTCTGCTGTCCAATTGAAAACTTGATTAATATTTGCTGTAGTTTTTCAATGTCTTCAGCAGAGGTAATTTTCATGCTGATTTTTGAGTCATCTGCAAAGGATGATACGGAGCTGTAACTCGTACTTTTGTATTGATAGAATAAGGAACAGCAGTGGTGCAAGGACTGTACTCTGAGGTACAGAGTTTTTAACTGCGCTTGGACTCGATTTTATATTGTTGACTGTTACTCTTTGTGTTTTGTTCGACAGAAAGATGAGTATCCAGCGTCCTACTTTACCTGTTATTCCCATTGACCTCATTTTGTGCGCTATCACTCCATGGTCACATTTGTCGAATGCCTTTGCATTCTGGTTTTCTTCTAATGCCTCAGTGACTTTGTCGTAGTGCTCAAGTAGCTGTGAAAGGCATGATCTTCCCGCTCTAAATCCATGTTGGCCTGGGTTGTGGAGGTCATTGGTCTCCATGAAACTAGTGACCTGACTCCTGATCACTCTCTCAAATACTTTTATTATGTGGGACGTTAGTGCAACTGGTCTATAATTCTTTACCAATGCTTTGCTCCCTCTCTTGTGTAAAGAGGCTATGTCTGCTGCTTTAAGCGCATCTGGTATTTTCCCCGTGTCCAAGCTCTTCCTCCACACTATACTGAGTGCCTGTGCTACTGGCACTTTGCATTGATACAAAGCCACTCAAGAGGTCGGTGAAGATTAGGCCACCGATTAGGTGGCACGGGCATGAACAGCCCGTAAGTGGTAGATTCAATTGATCAATCGATCATTTAACAATAATCGTATTAGGATCATTAATACGCAGCTATCCCATCACGGATGCTGCTTCCTGCAACTCACGCGTATTCACGGGAGACATCTCCCGTCACGCAGGGTGCAGTCGCACCTCCACAGATCTCCAGTATCAGCTCTTGATACTGGTAATGGCTCAAAAGGGCCACCACTTACGGGCTATTCATGCCCTTGCCACCTTTTGGGTGGCTTAATCTTCATCAATCAATCAATCAATCAATCACGCGTATTGTTCATTAGGTCTCGCTAGTTCTAATGTTTATGAACCAATACTACGAAGACATTGTTTCTGTTTTGTTCACTTCACAGGTATCCTTTATTTTTACTGCCTGTCTCTTCTTCTGAACTGTCATACCTTTGAAGATGTGTTGATTAACACCAAAGTGCTTTAGTAATTTCTGGCTTCATTTTCCTTCATAGTTATATACATTGTCACATGTGTTTCGTCATTGTCACATTTGTTTCGTCATTGTCACATGTGTTTCGTCATTGTCACATTTGTTTCGTCATTGTCACATGTGTTTCGTCATTGTCACATTTTCGTCATTGTCACATGTGTTTCGTCATTGTCACATGTGTTTCGTCATTGTCACATTTGTTTCGTCATTGTCACATGTGTTTCGTCATTGTCACATTTGTTTCGTCATTGTCACATGTGTTTCGTCATTGTCACATTTGTTTCGTCATTGTCACATGTGTTTCGTCATTGTCACATGTGTATGACGTTTCGTTCCTGCCTGGAAGATCTTCGGGTGACTATGGTGTTTAGTGTGTATGATAAAGGAGATTCATGTTGACCAGACCACACACTAGAAGGTGAAGGGACGACGACGTTTCGGTCCGTCCTGGACCATTCTCAAGTCGATGTATGTGACTCAACGTCTGCAAAGGAGATTCATTTATTTTGTTGACCAGACCACACACTAGAAATTGAAGGGACGACGACGTTTCGGTCCGTCCTGGACCATTCTCAAGTCGATTGAGCTCAAGTAGCTCAATCGAGATTCATTTACTCCCTAACCATATAGGGTGAGTGGTGAGGTCACGTTTAACTGAGTCAAGACGTCGGGCCAAGATGTCGGCGGGTAGACGATGATTTCCTCAGCTGTAAGGCCCAGTGACACCTGCAAGATGTTTCACGACCAAACACCACCTTCACTCCTGACATCTCCCATCTACTACGGGGCTACTCATGCCCGTGCCACCTCTTGTGGGGGGTTATTATGACGTCATCTTCCACTGAGGGGGGGGGGCTCTAAGCTTCAGTGTTGGTAGTGAGGCAAAGTCTTGGCTTTGTGTGTGTCTATATTTGGTCTTTTCTTATTTCTTTGATGAGAATGGTTTTTATTATTTATAATCTGCCGTCTGGTACAGACCCAATTTTCTCTGTGCTCCTCAGACATTTTTGTTGTCATAGTGTGATTAGTTTGATTCCCCTAAACCCAGACTGACCAAGTCTGGGTTTCAAGATAACCTCAAGTATTTCGGTAACCTGATCTTCCAACTCGGGGAAGATTGACAGAGACGCATCGAAGGCTTCCAACAGCAACATCAACCACGTCAGGAAGAGATAGCTCTGAGCCCTTCTTGAGGTTATCTTGAGATGATTTCGGGGCTTTTTAGTGTCCCCGCGGCGCGGTCCTCGACCAGGCCTTCACCCCCAGGAAGCAGCCCGTGACAGCTGACTAACACCCAGGTACCTATTTACTGCTAGGTAACAGGGACATCAGGATGAAAGAAACTCTGCCCATTGTTTCTCTCCGGCGCCCGGGATCGAATCCGGGACCACGGGTTCCTTAGTCATTGTTTTTCATGAATAATTAACCTATTGTTTCTCAAGGAGTCACTCCGAGGTAGGCATGCATTATAATAAGTTATTGTTTGACAGGGAACAGTTTTCCTTGAGCTTTTTGTTTCCTCAAGAAGGCATGGCCAGCAAACGAGACCATTAACCATTAACGAGAGAAAGTAGGACAACATAACCCAAGTGGAAGCTGGAAATGCAAATGAGCCGACGAAAGGCAAGGCAAGATTCGTACCCTGGCTGGCGGGTGGGTACCAAGTGGATCGTGCTGTAAAGAAGAAGTCGTGGAAGCCTCCTCCACTCCACAACTTCAAGGTCAGATTCGACAAAGAATTTGAACGGCAGAATAGTTAAGCTGTAACGCAAGAGGTACATCAAAGCTAGCAGGCGAGGCACGGTGAACCAGACCTCACTCCCCTGGAGACGCTGAGAGGTCAAGACGATGATAAATGACCTTCGTGTCTTGAGTACATAGGTCATCGCCACCAGGTGGGCGGGTCAGTCCTAACAAGTCGACACGCAGCCTGCAGCCACTCACTTCCGAATGATCAACACGCCATATATTCGTCTTACAAATGATCAACACGCCATATATTCGTCTTACGAATGATCAACACGCCATATATTCGTCTTACGAATGATCAACACGCCATATATTCGTCTTACAAATGATCAACACGCCATATATTCGTCTTACGAATGATCAACACGCCATATATTCGTCTTACGAATGATCAACACGCCATATATTCGTCTTACGAATGATCAACACGCCATAT